GAAAAAACAGAACGAAACAACCAGTAAACTCAATATGGAGGCACTAGCAAATTATTCTACGAAACATGTATACCAACAAAGGCTGAAACAGAAGACGACGACGACGTGGAAATCGCATGGAATAAATTACGCACAAATCTACTAAATGCAGCCGAAGAAGCACTTGGAAGAAGGACTAAAACCAGAACCGGAAAACGAAACACTAAACCTTGGTTTAAACAAGAGGTAAAGGACTTAGCAGCTGAAAAACGAAAAGCGTACATGCTATAACGATCGAACACAATTACGTACGAGGTATATAAAGCGGTCAGAAACCGGGTCAATGCAGAAATCCAGTCAATTAAACGAAAGCATTGAGAAAAATTGTCTGCCGATATGGAACACGACCTATATGGAGGATAGAAAAGAATCTGGAATATGCTAAGAAATAGAAAAAGACCATTTAACGAATATATCCAAATTTCAAAGATCACTACTGAAGACTGGGAAAAACACTTTGAACAACTCTACCGTAATAAAGAAGAAACACCACCAACTTGGCAGATACCGATAGAGAAAATCAAACAAACGGCAACCGCTCTAAAAACAGAAAATCACCTGGTATAGACGAGATAACGAACGAAATGATCAAGTAGGGAGGGGATGCATTCATGGATGAATTAAAAGATTTTTACAATAAAATATTATATCTACAAAAAGTACCTTCAGAATGGAAGGACAGCATAACAATCCCAATCTTCAAAAAAGGAGAGAAAACAGACCCCAAAAACTGTAGAGGAATCACTCTTCTCAGCACAGTTTTGAAGCTGTTGACAAAAATATTGGCAGAAGAAGTGACCAGCGCGGGAATATGTGAGGAGCAGCAAGGTTTCACACACAATAGATCCACTATAGATGCCATATTCATACTCCGCCAAATAGCCGAAAAAGCTATTGAATGCAACAAACCGGCGTTCATGTGTTTCATAGATCTTACACAAGCATTTGATAAAGTAAGACTGACAGACGTCATAAAACTACTAGAAGCAAGGAAAATTCATTAGAATATTGTGTCCATCATCAGAGAGCTAAACACCTGCAATCACACACTCGTAAAAGCAGAAAATAGAACAACAAGGAGAATACCCGTCAACACAGGAATTAGACAAGGAGACAGCCTAAGCCCTATATTGTTTAACAT